TGTCACTCATTCATTAGAATGTAGCCAGTAAAATGACTACCAATCAAACATCTTGAATCAGATCATATGATGAATGCAAATGCATATGTATCCCAAGATGTATGTATGTTGTAAAGTTTGAACATGATTGAACCAGACATGTCAGAGACTGAGGTGCAGCCAGGTCGATGAACAGAAAAATACATGCTTGGAGGTGAAATTATAAATCTTTGTTTTTGTACTTTGTTTCAACAGGCACTAATTACACATAATACATCCCCCCATGCAACCAAGTAGTTGGCAATATGTGCGATATCATGACAGTGTACTGTAAAATACTTTTTTTTAGTTGGAATTAATTTTCACTGAAAAGACTTTTTGGTGTTTTTTATGGAGTATATTTTTACTGATATTGATGACTTGAATGTGAAATATAGGGAAAAGGGTATATTCAATGGATTTTATTTTCAATGAATCATCCTTTCAATGAAAATAGTGAAATTGTTTACAGTGCTTAGTTTACTTTACCTGTAGAATTTAACAGCTGAGGAACCCATCAATTCCAAACCTGTGATTACTTCTTGAATACTAATAATGCTTGTAAACGTGTTGACAACACCTCCATGTGTGACATTGGTAGTAACCTCAAAGATCCCAGTAATGGGATAAACATACACCCAGCTATAATCCTCTCCTGTCAATCCACTGGAGATATTGTGTGTAACACCGTTACCATAGTCAATACTAACATCAAGGGTACTGGACTGAGAGTTTTTTAATGTGAATGTAACATTTCTCTCAACTTCTATGCTTACAGCATGGGTCAAGTACATATTGGATGTAGTAACTGCACTGACATCTATTTCGGCTATCTGTCTGGCAACTATAAATAAATAACATACAATAAAATCTTTCAGTTTTGGATATTGTGAAATTATTTTGTTTTTACGTAGAAAATAAGGTATTTTCTACCAAGTAAAATCATCTTTATTAAAGTAATGGTTCATAAATTAGTTATTTCATTCAGCTTTTTTCAGTCATAATTCAAGATTCACAATTCATAATATGCTAAAATATTAAATAATATAGTAAATTATTTTTTTCTGTAATATTATTGTGTAATCAATAATTGGGAAAAATATCATTGTGTGCATATGGAAAACATGAATATGAATTATTCTTAATATATTTCACAATTTTCTTGTTAAAATCAGTTGTTTTTTCTCAAAATGTTAAAAATGGAAAGTCTTTGTCGAAGTACATGTACAATATAACCCTTACAGTTATAGGGCATTAATTTGTATTTTATTTTTAGAATTTAAATGTTTGTCTAAAACCAAGAAGGGGTTGTTATATTTTGACTGAATGCACAGAATCTTTGAATTAGCATTTTCAGAACTAAAACTAAATAGGTGTTTTTAAAACTCTTTGAAAATCAGAGACCACAGAATTATAAAGATGTCCTCTACAAGCAAACTCACTTATATTCTTTAGTCACCACAATGGGAACTGAATTTCCCTGGATTAAAAAAATAGATACCCTGGATAAGAAACTCCTGGGAACAGAACCTGTATATGATGACTACAAGGATTATAGTGACTGAACACTCATACATGATAATCTGTGAGAGAAAAATACAAACTGACAATAATTTTAGTTTTATACTTACCAAAATTATTCACAGTGACCTTTAAGTGTGTATTATTTGTAAATGTATAACCAATAACAGGAATCTGTGTTAGCAATGATATGCCATCAATGTTCCAGTTATATATCAAATCAGTACGTGCTGAAATAACATCTGAAATATCAAAAACAATGACACAAACTAGTACCAACAACTGTATTCTTTTCTATGAAATAGCAATATTACAATCTAGTTAGAATACTTCCTAACTTCAGTAAAATTAAGGTAGAGATGCAGTTTACCTGACAGGTATTTTAATTAGTTAATTAGGAAACCAAGATGACCTCCCTTGTCCACAAAACAATATATTTTCGGAAAGCTTATTGTAAGTTTTGTTAGTATTTTATTTTTATGAACACTGTAGTTTGAAATATGCACAAAAATGTGCTTTTTTGGTCAAAAGTGATTTAAACAAGCCATGCATGGCACAGTCCCCGTTAGTTATCAAATTTAAGATATATAGTTTTGTTTATAGTACAAGCCATGCATGGCACAGTCCCTGTTAGTTATCAAATTTAAGATATATAGTTTTGTTTATAGTAATATAGCTGGATTACAACCATGTCAGGAATACGATTTTTTAACATTAAAATGATTGACATTTGTACATTGTATCTGATCGTC